TCTAATCTAATAAAAGAGAAACATGCAAATTGACCATAACTCCGCTATGCCCCAAGCCACTCCCACCAGCCAATCAGAGCGACTATATGCAAATTAACCCAACCAAGATGGCGGCCGGCAGCCACGGAGCTGGAGCAAGCAGGAGGCTTGGTTGCCTCGTCGATGGAGGAAGCCAAGCTTCCCACCTGCCCTGGCCGGCTGTGGCCTCCACTAAAGGCAACAAAGTTTCAATTATAGAAGATAAATAAATCCCAGATACCTGCTTCCAGCCAGCCTCCACTGGGAGCTTGGGTGGCTGGGGGCTGTGGCCAGCCTTCAAACAGCCATCAGCCCCTCACCCAGGCTGGCCAGGCACCCCAAGGGGGACCCTCACCCTGAAGGGGCTGTGGCCAGCCTGCAAACAGCCATCAGTCCTTCACCCAGACTGTCCAGGCACCCAGGCGGGGACCCCCACTCTGAGGGGGCTGTGGTTAGCCTGCAAACAGCCATCAGCTCCTCACCCAGGCTGGCCACACCCTCATGGGGTGAGGGTCCCCACTGGGGGGCTTGGCCAGCCTGCAAACAGCCATCAGCCACTCACCCAGGCTGGCCAGGCACCCCAGCAGGACCCCCACCCTGACCTGGGACACCCTTCAGGGCTCACCAGCTGGCCCCACCCATGCACCAGGCCTCTATCCTATATAATAAAAGGGTAATATGCAAATTGACCCTAACAGCAGAACACCTGGGAATGACTGGTCACTATGACCCAGGCTGACGGCTGCCAGTACAGGGGTAGTGGTAGGAGCCTCTCCCGCCTCCTCAGCAGCGCTAAGGATGTCCGAATGCAGCTTAGGCCTGCTCCCCACTGGCAAGCGGACATCCCACGAGGGCTCTTGGGCTGCCAGAGGGATGTCTGACTGCCAGCTTAGGCCCAATTCCCCGGGGAGCGGGCCTATGCCAGCAGGTGGACATCCCCCGAGGGGTCCCAGGCTGCGAGAGGGCACAGGCCGGGCTGAGGGACGCCCCTGAGTGCACAAATTTTTGTGCACCGGGCCTCTAGTTTGATATAAAAGGCATGTACAGTAAATAAACCTGATCTTTTATTTTATTTGGCTTCTGGACTCACATTTGATCAATATACTCATAAAATGACCCTTAAAATCATTTATATTTCACCTGAAAAATGTTGACTTAAATTCTTGAAATGAAATCAGGTTCAAAGATCTCTCAATTATTGTGTCTCCACTTACACAATCTAGCATGTAGTAGGAAAAAAATAGCAATGATGTTATATTTGTTAAATCGCTTTTTGACACTTTCTAAAATGATGTGGTTTTCTGTTTTCTGACAGGAAGCCCTGACATTGTCCACTGACATACTTTTTTTTTTTTAAATCCTCACATGAAGATAAGTTTTTACTGATTGTAGAGAGAGAGCAACGGAGAGAGAAACATTGATGTGAGAGAGAAACACTGATCAGTTGCCTCCCACATATGCCCCAATTGGGGATCAAAACCACACCTAGGTAAGTGCCCTGACCAGAAACCGAACCCACAACCTTTTGGTGTACCAAACAAAGCTCCAACCAACTGAGCTACCCAGGGCCACTGACATAATTTTTCTGTTGCAAAGACAAATTTTTATTTGAAAACAGTCAAAAGGCAGCAATATTTTCTAGATCATTAAAATTTTTAATACATTTTTTATGTTAAACAGAATTAGTAAAATAAAACAACTTTCCTTCATATTACTGGAAAACTGGAAAAACATGCTAAAGCCATTATTACACTTTTTTTTTTAGATAGTAAGCATTTATTTGTAAGTTAATTGATGTCATTCCAACTATTAGAAATTCTAAAAATAAACAGTACTTGTTTTTCTTCAGAATGGATTAAGATATAAATTAAATACAATTAAGTGACATTTAATCACCTCACAAATAAGAGGGATAATGAGAAGAGTTTGCTGGCATCGGAACTATTTAATTGCTAAAAAAAAAAGTAATTGCTCTTTTGCCTCAATAGGCTTATAACCCACTAGGCTTAGTTTGATAAATCTCAGACCTGGGTATATTCAGAGCTGAATTTTGAACTCAGTCATAGTAGCTTTCTTAGCCTAGGTTTTTGATACAAATTATTCCAATATTTTCTTGCAGGTCTCCATCAGTGAGCTTCTTCACTCTTGTTTTCATTTGGTTCCAATATGTTAGCACCTCACTCTAAGTCATCACAAATTCATTTTGTAAGTATGTGGATACAAGAAAAGTCTTTGTGGCCAAGATCATAGTGATACGAATCTGCATAAAGTCTACTATATGACTTTTCATTATGGAGATGGGTGGGAAAAGGTGAACTCTCTACTACCCCAAAAATGGTCATTTGAGATTCCTCCCTTCCAATTGTATAATTCTTTTGTTAAATTTGTTAAAATTCTTTTAAAAAGTACTTAGCCAGCCTGGGCTAGGGAGCTCTGTTGGTTGGAGCGCTGTCCTGATACGCCAAGGTTGCAGGTTCAATTCCCAATTAGGGCACATATAAGAATCAACCAATGAATGCATAAGTAAGGGAACAAATCAATGTTTCTATCTCAAATCAATTTAAAAAGTTGTTCTAAAGTACTTAGTTAATATGTTCCCAAAGAAATAAATTAGCAGAAGAGAATGACATTATATTTATTCAATTTTATTATACAAATGAGATGACACTCCATTAAATATTACCTAACTAGGCATTTAATGAACAAATTGCAAAATACCTTGTAATAACAAAACACTATTTAAACTACTATAATTATCATAACTATAGTTATCAAACAAGTCCAAAAGTTGTTCAGAATATAATAATGTATATATAATAAAAACATAGATACAAAGTGCATTTTAAAATATTTGAATGGCTAGTAACTTATTCCCTCAAAACAGGAAAATAAATACTCAGAAAAATTTTAAAGCAGTGCAGCTCAAAAGTGCTATCTCAATAGACATGAAATGCTATGTAATATTTTGTTCTGTTTTAATAAGATAATTATCATTCTGACATATTAACAACAAAAGAGTAAACTTACAGAACCAGACAATGCTCCTGAAGTAAAGTTGATCATAAATGTGGGTTCATATAAACCAGATTTCTCACACAACCACTTCTTTAAAAGTTCATAGTTATACCAGTACATTGCTATAAAAAACAGAATGAAATGAATGCATATTTAGAAATGAAATGCGGACCTTAGAGAAAATATTTGGGAGGTTATCTATTAAAGGAAAAGACATTATAACCTTGACATATCTTGTTTTCTGTTTAAACACATACTAGGTAAGATTTTTAAAAAAGAAACCAAATTCCCAATAATATTATAGCAGTCTTATAAACAAAAACTCTATGCATCAGTGAAATAGGACTTTAATTCCAAAATCCAACGAAGACAGTAGCAGAAAGGTAAAGTACAAGCCAATCTTATTCATGAACACAGGTATACAACCCTACAGAAATTAAATAATAAAAAGCAACTGAAGCCAGAGGTATTTCATAAAAGATCATATACTATGCCTAAACTGGGTTATCTGAGGAATGCAAAGGTAGCAAATAAAATAAACCCTTTAGATGCCACATACCATTTGACAGAACCATGGGACCACTTCTATTTAAAGCAAACAAAGAAATTTCTTGGAAAACTAGGGTTAAAAGAGTTATTTAACTTGATAAAGGGTATGCATCAAGAACTTATACCAAAAATAATTATTAATGGTGAAACAACAGAACTATTTCCTTTAGAACAAGGAAAATGATAAGGATGCAACATTATCATTGCTACTATTCAAAACTTTACTAGGCAGTCCATAAGATAGAAAAAAAAAATAAAAGCTATAATGATTAAAAGTGAAGAAACAAAGTAGCTATAATTTACATATTATTGTCTACATAGAAAACACAGAAGATATGAAGATAAATTAGAATTATAACAGTTTTAAAAGTAGCTAACCATAAGCTAGTAGAGAAAATCTACTGTTACACTGCCTCAGGCACAAAGGGATTTAGGAACTTTTTTTAAAATAATAGATTTTTAAAAAAATATATTTTTTTTGATTTCTTTCATTTGGTTCCAATATGTTAGCACCTCACTCTAAGTCATCACAAATTCATTTTGTAAGTATGTGGATACAAGAAAAGTCTTTGTGGCCAAGATCATAGTGATACGAATCTGCATAAAGTCTACTATATGACTTTTCATTATGGAGATGGGTGGGAAAAGGTGAACTCTCTACTACCCCAAAAATGGTCATTTGAGATTCCTCCCTTCCAATTGTATAATTCTTTTGTTAAATTTGTTAAAATTCTTTTAAAAAGTACTTAGCCAGCCTGGGCTAGGGAGCTCTGTTGGTTGGAGCGCTGTCCTGATACGCCAAGGTTGCAGGTTCAATTCCCAATTAGGGCACATATAAGAATCAACCAATGAATGCATAAGTAAGGGAACAAATCAATGTTTCTATCTCAAATCAATTTAAAAAGTTGTTCTAAAGTACTTAGTTAATATGTTCCCAAAGAAATAAATTAGCAGAAGAGAATGACATTATATTTATTCAATTTTATTATACAAATGAGATGACACTCCATTAAATATTACCTAACTAGGCATTTAATGAACAAATTGCAAAATACCTTGTAATAACAAAACACTATTTAAACTACTATAATTATCATAACTATAGTTATCAAACAAGTCCAAAAGTTGTTCAGAATATAATAATGTATATATAATAAAAACATAGATACAAAGTGCATTTTAAAATATTTGAATGGCTAGTAACTTATTCCCTCAAAACAGGAAAATAAATACTCAGAAAAATTTTAAAGCAGTGCAGCTCAAAAGTGCTATCTCAATAGACATGAAATGCTATGTAATATTTTGTTCTGTTTTAATAAGATAATTATCATTCTGACATATTAACAACAAAAGAGTAAACTTACAGAACCAGACAATGCTCCTGAAGTAAAGTTGATCATAAATGTGGGTTCATATAAACCAGATTTCTCACACAACCACTTCTTTAAAAGTTCATAGTTATACCAGTACATTGCTATAAAAAACAGAATGAAATGAATGCATATTTAGAAATGAAATGCGGACCTTAGAGAAAATATTTGGGAGGTTATCTATTAAAGGAAAAGACATTATAACCTTGACATATCTTGTTTTCTGTTTAAACACATACTAGATAAGATTTTTAAAAAAGAAACCAAATTCCCAATAATATTATAGCAGTCTTATAAACAAAAACTCTATGCATCAGTGAAATAGGACTTTAATTCCAAAATCCAACGAAGACAGTAGCAGAAAGGTAAAGTACAAGCCAATCTTATTCATGAACACAGGTATACAACCCTACAGAAATTAAATAATAAAAAGCAACTGAAGCCAGAGGTATTTCATAAAAGATCATATACTATGCCTAAACTGGGTTATCTGAGGAATGCAAAGGTAGCAAATAAAATAAACCCTTTAGATGCCACATACCATTTGACAGAACCATGGGACCACTTCTATTTAAAGCAAACAAAGAAATTTCTTGGAAAACTAGGGTTAAAAGAGTTATTTAACTTGATAAAGGGTATGCATCAAGAACTTATACCAAAAATAATTATTAATGGTGAAACAACAGAACTATTTCCTTTAGAACAAGGAAAATGATAAGGATGCAACATTATCATTGCTACTATTCAAAACTTTACTAGGCAGTCCATAAGATAGAAAAAAAAAATAAAAGCTATAATGATTAAAAGTGAAGAAACAAAGTAGCTATAATTTACATATTATTGTCTACATAGAAAACACAGAAGATATGAAGATAAATTAGAATTATAACAGTTTTAAAAGTAGCTAACCATAAGCTAGTAGAGAAAATCTACTGTTACACTGCCTCAGGCACAAAGGGATTTAGGAACTTTTTTTAAAATAATAGATTTTTTAAAAAAATATATTTTTATTGATTTCAGAGAGGAAGGGAGGCGAGAGAGAGAGAAAAAAACAATGATGAGAGAGAATCATTGATTCGCTGCCTCCTGCAGGCCGCCTACTGGGGACTAAGCCTGCAACCCAGTCATGTGCCCTTGACCGGAATCAAACCCAGGACCCTTCAGTCCGCAGGCTGATGCTCTGTCCACTGAGCCAAACCGGCTAGGGAAAAATAATAGATTTTAAAATAGCTGCCAGAAATTGGGGATGGGTGGGTGTATCTATAAATAAATCTTTTTTTTAAGTGGCATATAACCTTTATGAAGAAAATTTTAAATCTCTGCTAAAACACTTTTAAAAAGAGTTATATAATAAAGAGATATGACACTCCTAGGGGGAAAAATAAGGTAATATCAAGTTTTCTTTTATAATGCACTAGTAATTTAGACAGTACTATAGTATTAGCACAGGGTTACGCAAACTGGCCAGTGAAAGCTTGGTATGTCAGAGGTGATACTGCAGATCACTGCAGAAAGTATAATTCAACATTCAGTAAATGTTGCTGGGGTAACTATCTACCCACTTGCAGGGGAAACAAATACTTATTCACTCCATAACCCAAATCAATTATGGATACATGAATGGCCAATGAAATAGTGTCCAACCTCAGCAATAATCAGAAAAATGTAAGTTAAAGTGAGATCACCACTTTAAATTAGTAGATAAACAAAAATTAAGAACTGCAACAATAAAAGTGCTGGGGAGGGTAATTTGTCCTCTTAATTTTACTCTTGTTTATGTGTGAGTAAGCAAGTTAACAGTGCTGCTGTGAACAGTCTCTTAGTGTACAAGAATTTCTCCAGTATTAAATGTGCTGGTTCACATAAATATATATATTTAAAATTTCATTTGGTAATATCCAATTCTTTTAAAAATTACAATGTTCTAATTCATATATTGAAGTGGTGACTTCATAAGTAGACTTCATTTTATTAGTATACTTTATATTTTATTAGAGGCCTGCTGCACGAATTTGTGCACAGGTAGGGTCCCTAGGCCTGGCAAGCAATCAGGGCCAATCTGCTGGGCAACTGGCAGGGTGATCAGGGGGCCCCCACTGGCACCCACCTTGGCTGGCCTGGGACCTGCCAGCTGGGGGCAGCTCAGGCATTGAGTGTCTGCCCCCAGGTGGTCAGCGCACGTCATAGCGACCAGTCGTTTTGCCATTCGGTCAATTTTCATATTAGCCTTTTATTATATAGGATATCTATGTTACCTTTCTTGTGTCAATTATATAATACAAAAATTAAAAATAGGAATTGGCCTAGGAATCTATGATTAATTACACTGTATGTTTCTAAACAGCATAACAACTGATCACAAAATGTTGGAGAAAAATACTAATGAAAAGGGAAAGATGTATAGAGATATGAATAAAAGAACCAAAGAAAAGGATTAACTCAAGAGAAAAAAAGAAAACAGAACATTAATATAAAGGTTCTTAATAATTATTTCTTTCAGGTCTTAAAGGAAAACTCCAATGATACACAAGAGAAATGGTACTGAACTATGCACATTCTACAAGTTAACTTTAAACGTCTTTTTCATGATTTTCACCCTTTTCATAATTCAATAATTAGCACAATCTTCTATCAGATTTATAACAGTCTTATTTACAGGACACTCATTTAATGGGGAAGGTTTTTATCTTTGATAATTGAAAAAAGTAGGAGTTAATATTATTCATAGGCAATCTTAAATGTAATTTGTGATATTTTTATTTATAGTAGTTTACTTACCTTGCTAATTATAACTTACTTAGAATAAGTTAAAGATAGTTTGTATTATCTAAATATAAATAAATACCAATTAATGTTGGAAAAGAAATTAAACACAAGAAAATAAAATCAGGCTTAAATTAGAAACTATTCCTAGCTAATAAAGAGGGAATATGCTAATTGACCCTCATGCCATTGCAAAGATGGTGGCACCCACAGCCAATAAGGAGAGAATATGCTAATTGACCGCCCCGCCCTCAAAATGGCAGCACCCACAGCCAATAAGGAGGGAATATGCTAATTGACTGCCATGCCCTCAAAGATGGTGGCACTCACAGCCACAAGGTAGCAGTGCCCAGTCCCCTCAGCCCCGCTGGGGTGGCAGGTGCGTGGCAAGGCCGGCCCTCCTGCCTCCAGAGTCCCCCAGTCCCCTCAGCCCCCCAGCTGCCCAGGGCTGGCCCAAGGCACAGGCAAGCCTCGGATGGTGGCTGCCCAGCCGCCCAGGGCCGCT